TATGGGAAAGCCTTGCATCCGCGCAATTTTATATTAAGACGCGTGAGCGATACTTAATCGATTTATGTATGAAAAGGTTATGGGTTGGATACTAAAGGGACTATGAGTGTTTTTGTTTCGTGTGATTGATCTGGTTTTTGTTCTGGCGTGGTGTAACATGTGGTAAAAAGGATGCGTCCTAGTCGACCGACGACGAGTCGCGGTTGGGATTTCAGCCCCCAGTGCGTCGACTTGCATACGGGTCCGATAAAGGCGTGGAACCGCACGTACCCCCTATACTACAACGTACAAGAAAACGCCCTCGGCTGGCCCACCTATGTGATTGCATGTAAAACCTTTCGTATTGTGGACTGGTAGCTCGGCGGGGATACGCCCACCTAAGGGATGGTGACAACTCCCGCAGGTGGAGATAAATGATACCTCGTGTGGTCCTATCTTGTCGTAGGGGTTCGCGACAAGTATGGCTAGCGCACTCGGTCGGAGCGACAACGCTCTACGACTAAAGTAATGTCGAATCTTGTGTGACGCGGCCGGGAAGGTCCCCTCTCTCTTGCGGGGATCGTACGCTTAACACCGTGTTCCATAATGGGAATCGATACTTAATTCGACCAAATCAATAAAGCTCAAGATAAATAAAAATAAAATGGAAAAAGGGAAAATCAGGGAGGGGTGAAGAGAAAAGAGTCAGGGTGAAGAGAAAAGAGTCAGTGACTCCCCTCTTATCTTCTCGATCGGACCCGCAGTCGGGACCGCGGCAAAACCGAGGGGATAGCCTCGTCAAACCCTCAACCTTCTCAACCACCCATTGGTCTCTATCACTCTACCTGCTGTGCGAAAGTCCAACACCGTAACCAACTTTGCTAGGCCCAAGGCTGGGTTCAATACTAGTGCACACCCATATAAACGGGTGTCACACGGCGAGTGGGCCCACTAACACACACCAGGGCCATACCTTGGTCTACCGACTAACCTCACGACCATCGAACTCCCGCATCTACCGCGGGAAGGCTCGTTCCATGTTTTTACCCCGCCGCTTACTCCGTTCTACTATGCAAAGGCCGCACTGCCACAAAGCGAACTTCTGCACGAGAGCACACGCATCAAAGTCAAACTTACCAACCAAAGGAAAATACCACTCAACCCTAATTTAATTGAAACCAAACAGTTGCCTAGCAAGAGTGGCGGTCCCGTAATATCAATAGGAAAAGATCACACATGCCTAAAAAATGCGCGCCCACACACCCTCTGCTTTCAGTCAAACATTTAATCAACGTAAAAAAAAATACAGTCGCGACTCGCACGTTGTACTCAATTTTCAATTCAAGACTTATTTTCTAGCACTTGCAAAGCACCGATGATGTGATGGCATGGGGTACATCCCCCACCCGACAAGGGATGATGAAACCAGCACAGGCATGGCGAAAGAAGCACGGGTGTGCAAAGTCTGCGTAGCACCCTGTAATTCAGCTTCGGAGTTCAAAGAAGGATCTACCATGTATTGCCATGCGTATGCCGACAGACTTGCCCGGTGTCTTGCAACTACAAACTGCTTCTCAACATTGTCTACGACGTCCATGTTCGTCAACCCTCCGAAATTGCTGTAAAGCTCAAAAGTGAAAGTGCGGCCGTCCATCCCTGCCACTGCACACCCCACATTGTCACTTCAACGAGTGCTCCGTGGTACAGTTTATGCACGTGTGGATAGGACAATGATAACAAATGCAGCTGCGCAGACGACGGCGACCACCAACAATGCAATGACAAGCCCCACAACCACTACGAATGTCCAAACGAGCAATCCAATGAAACTCGTACAATGCCTGCGGTGATCTCCACCCACAACCATCGACAAGCTCCTGTCATGGTGCACTCCATGCGAACACATGCAACACACGCAGCGGAGAGGATGTTGAAAGGGACACGACACAAGTGCCACCTTCATGCGTGCCTCTGCATGGTCCCTCCGCACGTCTCCCCCCTCCTGTTCCCGGACGTTATTTGCACGAATCGTTACCCACAAGAAATTCTGGGCACGGCAGGTGCAATGTCGGCACCTGGCTGTGAGCATGTTCTCCAAGTGCTCGATGTGGAGGACGAACGGGCAACGCACAGCGTGGATCCGACTTCAGGTGCAGCTGCGTGACCACACCATTGTCCGAGAAGGGAGTCCAGACATCTCCCGACTGTGCTTTCTGCACCTGCAGCAGCACAGCTCAGGGACCTGCCGCCGGACAGCCTCACCACATGCAGGAATTGGCAAACCATGTGCACGGTCACCAAGTGTGGTCCAACCCGCACCTCGACGATGGAGGTTCCCCACTCTGAACATGGGAAAGTGTTTCGAGTACCTTCGGATATGGCCGATCACCGTGCATGTGCGCGAATGTAGCGTAGCTGGCCGTCGTCCTGAAAACCGATTGCTTGCGCAGCCTTACGTCTACTGCACGTTGACGCCGACGATACGCTGCTCAGCCCCGCTATTCGAATTCGAGTTTTCGAAATCGGGCCACGACCTGCGTGTTTCTGGCACGTCGCACATGGGACAACCCCCTTTGGCGACGGTCCCGGGGTGGGTGACATGGAGGCCCGCAGCAGCGTGTTCCAGGAATGCATGATGAAGCAGGTGCGTACATATGGAAGTCCGGGCGTTCTCCGCGACCTTGAAAACCTTCAAGACGTTCCCCCCCCCCACCCTCTGCACTCTGCACAAAATTGCAGCTATAATTGCTCCCGCGGTGCTTTTCCAGGTTGGAAACAATGTGAAAACGGAAATTCCCCTTCTTCCCGGAAGAGCATTCTTGGAAAAAAAAAGGGCCTTCCAAGGACTCCACGGAGGCTTGAGGGGTGCTGGAATTGTTCCACAGCAAAGTTTTCCCAGTCCGCATTGCTGTGGGGTCCAGGCCTGAGCTAGCCCTCTGCATCGCACTTTGATTTTTGCTTTCAGTTTCACGTCAGACCGAAAGCCAACGACAATGCCAATGCAGCTTAGGCCTGGACCCCACAGGAATGCGGAATGGAAAAACTTCGCTGCAGAACTGTTTTCGGGACCTCACAACGCGCTGAAGAGGTCCTGGAAAGTTACAATTTTTTCTGCAGAACTGTTTCCTGGGACCCCACAGCCCGCATTTTTTGGCCTGGAAGAGGACTGAAATCCGTTTTCACATAGTTTCCGGGCTGGAAAAGTGCTGCGGGAGGGATTCTCGCCGCGATTTTGTGCCGAGTGTAGAGTGTGGAGGGGGGCGGTATCTTGAAAGTTTCCAAGGTCTCCTCCCCCAGCTGGGCGAGAAGTTGTCCTCCCACGGGCCTTGTGCTGGTCCTGGAACACAGTGGTGTCGCCTACCTACCGCTACCTACCGCCGTGCGGTGTCAGAGGACCACTTGGACAAACCACCACTTTTTTCTACGGGACGGTGGGGAGGGATGTTTCCTATTATGGACAACTTTGAAGTCATTTTGCGGCAAACTTACTCTGCGGTGGTCCGTGGTGGGGTCGTTTCCAGAATTTTTCCACCGTATTTTTTGGGCAGACGTCTTTTCCAGTGGAATTCCTGTGGGGTCCAGGCCTTATATTATTCACCGACTCAATGCTACCTTTTCTAGGACAAACGATAGACGACCATCATGCCATCTACCAAATCCTTGCATTTCCTGGCAGTCCTCGCGATCCCGTATAGGCGCTTCAAACACACAACACTATTCAATCAATTCAATCACAGGCTCGACACACAACGGCCTAACAGAATTGCCTAATTACCAACGCGCCGCGCTCTCGGGGCTCCCTCTCTACGCTGCCAAAATACAGATCGTAATTTTCCCCGCGCAGTCATGAATGGGTGTTTTCTTTTTTTTTTCCGCATAGCTTCCGGCCACAATCACGTCCACAGCATTCCGATTCCGATACAGCCCCGATGGCCCGCCCCCAGACCATGCAGCGTTGGCACCCACAGTCTATGCCGGGGTCGATCGTCGATCTTGCGCTGCGAGAGCAGTGGTTATGACTTGTGTGTATGAGTGGGTGCAGAAATTGGAGCCACAGAGAGAAGACGTGGGGCCCAGCGGGGCTGTCTCACAGTGCTCTGAACATCGAAGATCAGCTCATTGGGCAGCGGTTTCGGATTGCGCTACTGTAAGGAAACAAACGGTCATCTTTTCGGCCGAGAATAGGCGGGAGGAGAGTAGGGCGGCAAGATCCGAGCCGGACGGCGATGCACCAATGAGTCACGTCCGAGGAGTACATTTCAACGGTGTGGATCATAGCGCAGCGGTTTCGGATTCCGTAAAGGAAATAAACGGTCGGCTTTTCGGCCGATGATGGAAAAACGGAGGGCAGGCCGGCAACAACGAAGGCAGGCGGCAATGCCCAAGTGACTGGATCACGTCCACCGCGCCTCTACGAATTTGCAGGGAGATCTGACGGCCCGAAATGAGGTAGCCAAGCTGACTGCGTGGTTGGAGTTCAGAGCACAACCCCTGGAGCACCTGTTCGGAAATTGCGGCCAGATACGTGCACGTAGGACAGCTGCGGATCAGCTGCTGCATGGCAGTGGTGATCACCGATGAGCCTGCAAATGGGTTTGAACTCCTGCCCTGATGAGTATCAGTTCTACATACGAAGCCTTCGCCTGCGTTCCCGAGCTTTCCTCAGGCGAAGGGAAGCCGGGGAACTGAATCGGGCTGAAGAAAAAGACTGGCGGATAACGAACGGCCTTAGTGCGTGTGTGATCGGGTGCGGGCCGGCCTTAGCTGGGTGGCCGGGAAAGGTCTCGAACAGCTAGCCAACCAGCGAGCTAGCGAGCCAGCGAACCAGCCCGCCCTTGTCAGTGTGGCCCGGAGGGTCAATGCCTGCCAGCGGGTTGACAGCGACGAGAGGGAGGCATTGGAGGAGGCGAGGTGTTCTCTCAGCCGGAGCGTTTGCTTAGGGAGCACGTAGGAGGGAGCTACGGCAACAACGCAAGCTCGCTGGCTGCGCCGATCATCGCATCTCAACCGTTGCGAGGTGAGGGATGTGAGCAAAGACAACCGCGCGATAGGTGGTGCATCGCGTACTGAAATTCCCGATTTTGCAGGGCGAAGAACAAGCACGTAAGCGAGGGCGAGCTATGCTCGGCGGGTGACTCTGGAAGAGGTTTTGGTTGCCGATAGCTCGCTGCCTTCCTGGCGGGGGAGGAAAGGCAGCGTCACACGCAGAAAGGGTCGAACACAAGCTAGAGGGGAGAGAAGAGGAGGGAGCGAGCGTTTGCGCGGGCTGAGTGACGGCACTACTGGTAGGCACGAACACCCGCCGTGTCGTGTCTTGTCGTCGTCGACGTTCTCCAGGCTGAACCGAGTCCTACGTATTTGACTGGCTTTGGAGGCGGCAGATACTCTGGATACGGAGCCGCCGCCCTCGACGTACAGGACCACCAACGCGTGCTCTCCCTCCTCGTGCGGCCAACCTTGCCGCGGTTGTTTCAGTCGCCTCTTGCCCCTCTCCCTCGTCTCTCTCTCGTCTCTTTCTTCGTGGCACCCGCTGCCGTTCACGTGCCCTTCCGCATTTGTTCCTTCGCGGTGCGGTGCGGTGCCGCGCGGCGGGCACTTAAATTGCCGAGCGAGCGTGGTGGCATCGGTAAGAGGGAACGGAGCGGGGAAGGTCCGGTTTAGCCGGCACGCTCTCTCTCCCTCTCTTTCTCCCCTTCCTTTTGCCCTCTCGAAGGGGCGTCTCAGCTTTCTGCGCTGGACGTAGCCAGCGGCGGCGCGAACACGCTGAAGCTTTCCTCGTTCCTCGGCGGAAAGCCAGTTAACTGGTGCGTGCGCGCGCGCGCAGTGCGGCACTCCAATCGCAGGTAAATAGAAAGCGGCAGCGCGTTTGGTAAGTGGTTGTGGTTTGTTGTCGTAACCCGTTCATCCATCACTGGTTTGCACATCTAGGAGACTCGGAGATGGTGACGATGAAGTCTGCCATGTCGGCAAGGTTGCTGGTGGCCCTTTTCTTGGTGGTTGCGGCGGTACAGGGCGCCGATGCGTTGCGGCATGCGCTGGRGCAACAAGGTGTTGCGGCGAGAGATTGTCCAGTGGATTTCAGACAGGTGAACCTTATGTCGGTAGAGGCGGCTTGTAACACTGATGTGGCGGACGTGTCTCTTTGCTGTACGACTCTTTACCGGATGGTCACGCCATATGCGGGGGTCTTGAACGCCATTGACTCATGCGCAGGAGCTTTCCTGGACGCGTTTGCCGCTAGCGGCTTGAGTAATAACGACCAAGTTTTGCGCTGTTACGAGGAAAACGTAGCAGCGGCAGTCGCGGTGGATACCGCTGCCCGAGTGTTGCAGGAAGATTTGCCAGAAGTTTCCAAACCAATGGGGCCTCCTAGCGCGCCAGCTGGTCCCGAAGAAGGACCCGAGACACCTCTACAGCAGGGTACCGCCATGAATAAGGGAACAAAGGCACTGGGCGCAGGGAACACGGCCCCGGCCCCGTCCTCGAACCCGAATAGCGCACGTTCTCTCGGTGTTGGCTTTGGATCTGTGATTGCAGCGGTGGTGACTTGCATGATCGCCTCCGTCTTTATTGTAACTTAGGCAATGAACGATAGAGATAGAGAAGGGTGAGATGGCATGGCGGACAAGTGAGCGGAGAGATCAAGGGAATCGGGAAGGGAAATCAAGGGCGTCGGGGTAGGATGCGATAATGAAAGAAGGTTAGAAATAGCACATGTGAAGTGAATTGGGGGAGAAGACAGGGGGTGAAGAGTGTGTATGAGAGAGAGAGAGAGAGAGAGAGAGAGAGAGAGAGAGAGAGAGAGAGAGAGAGAGAGAGAGATTGTACTTTTGTTCCGTATCCTCTCCGTTTCTTGCCCTATTCTGAGTGCTCACCCTCATCCATTCTTTGCGGGGTTCCTTTCTTCGCGCGTCTTAGTTTTCCCTTCTATTCTTTTCTATTCTATTAGCACGCCTCAGTTGCGTTGTGGTGTTGTGGGTGGATGGTACGGTTTGCTACGCTACATATTTATCGTTGGATCCTGCTGCTGCTGCTGCTGCTGGACAAGATGAAAAATTAATTCTTTTGAACAGGAGACTTGCTTCAAGTTTCTGCCGCAATAAGGGGCTCGCAGGGGTACGTACGTTCTCTTGCATTCTTAGAAGAATGCAAATCACTCATACAAGTTGATATTTACCAAATTATCATCGTCGACGTCGTCGTCGTCATCATCATCGTCATCGTCGTCGTCGTCGTCTCTGTGAGGAAATTAAACAAGGGAAGGAGAAGAACCTATGTCAGTTACACGGTTGACCTTCTTCCGCGGAAGTGTTGCATTTTGACAGTCTTTTTCTTTCTTTCTATCTCTCTCTTTTCTTCCTAAATTTCTTTCTCCCATATTTTTTTTTTCCTTTAAAACATGTTCTCTCATATATCTCCCTTTTCATCATATCCCTAGTGCCACGGCTGTTGGCATGCGCCTGAGTCTGCTGCATGCGGCGTGGGATGCCCTTTTTTGCTAATGTCTATGTTTCTTTGCGGCTGTTCTTTTTACTAATTTATTCCTCCATTCCCCCCCCCCGAGAGGACGAGTGGAGAACATGATTTGTCTTTTCTAATGTCTCAGAATTTTGCGAATTCTTTTTTGGAGTTGATGTCGTGATAATGCATAGTTTTTCTGCTACTCTCTTTTGTGCCAAGCTCAAAATTCGGAGTAAGGGCCTCGCCTCACTAGTCGCCTATGTGCAAAATGAGCATGAATCGTCCGCTAGAACACGGAAAGTTACGTCGCCATATTGTTCTTGTGTCTTTTCTGTGCACGTCGCGAGTATGGAATGAGGGCCCTACACCAACCAATAGCGGATTAAGTCAGTTCTGCGAAGACTTGGTCACTTCTCACTCTTGTCTTGCCCAACTCTTGCGTCCTGTACGAGTGTCAAACAAATGAGGTCAGTCGTCTTCAATCTCGCCAACACGTATCGTGTGTGATTGTTATCGATGGCTTGACATTTTCTCTCCCAGCGGAAGGTTTTCTTTTTTTTTCCCTATTGTTTCTGGTAGCGCAAGAGATGCGGAAGTGTGTTAGTGCGTGTTTCAAATCTAACAAAATAGTAAGAAGACGTACAATGAAGAGCGGAGAACATCGAGGGACTTGAGCATATCACAGAGTGAGGTATAAGTGAGAAAGAGGTAAGTATGAGGATTTCTTCGTTCACGTCTTTGGTGATTTATATCAGCATTGGTCCCTATGAATTGCTCGTCTTTACATGTGCATATCAGTACTGCTGTCATTCATTCGTGGTTGTTCGCATGTCTGTAGGCTTGAGCTCCTCCGACACAACACTTCTCTGCTTTTTTATGCATGTCTTTTTTATTAAAAGGTTTCAGTTGTAGACGCGCCTGCTTGTCTATCAATTTCCGTCCAGTCTGAATTGAATGTCATGAGTGCTGCTCCCGTTCTCGGTCGTTCGGCAGGTTTTCCGAGGCTACGCGTCTCTCGCGGGACGGTCTTTTTTTTTTTACCTTCGCAACGTTGTCACGACTCTCTAAAATCTTGTACAATCATCTGTCCGGTGCGGTCTCCCTCCCGCCCTGTGGTATCTCTGTATGCATTCGGAATGCCATGTTTTTCTTCTCTTTTGTTTTCCAGAGAACGACCCGCCGTGCTCGTCTTTTTTGTTAAAGGTTTGACAGTTGCAGACGCGCGCGCCCGGTTATCAATTTCCGTGCGTTTCGAATTGTTGAATGCCTGTAATGCTTCTCTTAATCCTCGGACTTCCGGCAGGTTTTCTGCAGGCTACGCAATCGGCCTTTGTTTGTCCTCTTTTTTTCCGAGAAACGAAGCCCGTTGTTTCCCCGTGTTGAGCTTATAAAGCTATCTGTCGACCCTCGGTCGGAGCCGTAAACTAACCTTGAAGAGTTTCGTCGTAGGCATTGCGATGCGTATGGACAATTTGAGCTGCTTTTATGTAACGCATGTATTCATGCGGAAGATGGCGCTGTTTCGAGTATCTATATATCTTGCGACGCTACAACAGGCGCTAGGTATGGGTTTGGCTGGTGCTGTTTCCAATATCTATATCTTGTGACGTTAATACAGGCTAGATATGGGTTTTCCCTGACGATTTATGGATTTGTTCATTGTCTTTCGACTTCTATTTTTTCTTTATTTTTCAATTTCCTGCATTTAACTACGCCTCGAACTCGTCCGCGTGCGATTTGAGTGCGAGCTTGGAAAGAAAGACACTTCTTTTTTTTTTTTCCTTTTTTTTTTTTTCCTGCATTTACTACGCGTCGAACTCCTCCGCGTGCGATTTGAGTGCGAGCTTGGAAAAAGGGACGGCCGCGAGAGCTCTACTCTCATCTGTCTTTTGTCCTTGTTGCACAGATCGGCGTCGACATCGAGGACTAGGTTCCATGCAAATCCGAAAGTGAATGGAGACTGATTGGAGTCGGGCGCCCTGGGCGTTGGGTATCATCTTTATACGGAATGCCTTAGCCGTTGGGTGTTGTTGTCCCGTAGGAAGTGTTCTGCAGCGTTTCTGTGGTGTCTATCAATGTTATCCAAGTCCGGCCTGTCTCGGCCGTCCGTTTCCCGAATAGGTCTGCTGGTGTATTTGATTATCTCGTGGTTGGCTTCACTCACTAGGCTTTCAGCGTAAAGGGTGGTGGCTTCACTCACTAGGCGTTAAGCGTAAAGGTGGGAGCAAGTGCACAGCTAGCTCCATCTTGCTCTCATGTATGAATATACAGCCAGCTGTAGAGGCCGCGAGGAGGTTCGGTGTCGAGTTTTCTGTGACTGACGCTGAGCGTTACTAAGGGGAGAGCGCGCGTGGAAAGGACAGTGGAAGGTATGGTGTGGTCGTTTGTTCGGGCTTAAAAGAGGTATTGGAAAATGGAAATGGAAGGTGTTTATTTCTGAACGATAGGGGTCGTCGTTCTCCGGTTAGTCTGTCGCTTATTACCCCAAGAATTGCAGGCTGGTAGGCCCAAGAATTGCAGGCAGGGAGGAGACCGTATTGTCGATTTATGGGATACCGAGGAGCCAGCCACAAGTCGAGAGCCAACCCTTAAGCAAAGACTTTTGTGTACTACGACTAGCGAGGACTAGGCATTTGCGTGTACTACGACTAGCGAGGACTAGGCATTTGCGAACTAAGGTAAGGATTCCAAAGACGTTCTGCATGTGCATGCTGTGCATCACTGGCAATGATAATGTAGAGAGTGGAGCGGTAAGCTGGAAGACGGGGGGGGCGGAGGGCTATTATGGGGCCAATTCAGTGAAAGGGAAGGAGGATAAGGGTGATATAGATACGAGTGTAATGCTTGAGCAGAGTTTTGCCGAGGTTCGTTGTCCGGCACAAGCTCGTTATTCGTCTGCTTCCGTTTTTGCGTTCCTTATGTGTCACGAGACCTCCATATTTTACGGGATACGGACGTGAGTCACCACAGGCGTTTTTAGTTAAGGGGAGAAGAGGTAGGTGCGCAAGTCAAGCAGTGAAGGGGTTATATTTAGACTGCACTCCGTCCCTATTCCGATTGCTAGACACACGCGCAAGTGCGTATCTAGCTATGCACTTAGACTTGGACACACGCCTCGTCTTGATTTAGAAACTTTATACGAGGGACGATAAATAAAGAGTAACGTCTCACCTTGGACGTGTGTCTAAGTGCATTTCTCGACTGCTGCACTGCCTCTCTTTCGCACCCCGAGACCATTGGTGTATACAGAAATCGTGCATTTGCTCTTCTGGCCCACGGGAAACCAACCAATTCTCGCCTCCCTGTGTTCATGCCTTCGGTTACCTCATCCCGCACAGACGCAGGGATTTTCTTTTTGTGAAGACTTTACTCACAGGCATGGATTTTTTTATGTGAAGGTGGCAGAAGAACAGGAAGATAAACCGGGATGATGCAGAATCAGAAATATTACAGATTGCAACGTGGCGGCGAGACATGATTCGCTCGCTCGCGCAGCGTGGCTAGCACGTTCGTCAATGCTGCATTCTCATGGACCAAAAGACGCTCATGACGTAAGTAAACGTGCAGCGTGATGATTATTCTGTCTTCTAACAAGTGAAAGGACGCCAGCGACCTAATCAAATAGGCAGATTCTACCAAAAAAAAAAAAAAAAACGAAAAAAGAAAAGGCAGATTCGATGCGTCGCGTACTCGCACACGGCTGTTCTCCCAACTCCGAACTTACTGTAGTTTGGCGGGGGGTTGGGACCGTATCCCCTTACGGTCCCAACTCCCGGCCGAAGTTAACGAAGTTCAGGGGAGTCGGGACATTGTGCCGTGAGGGGAGGATGAGGAGCCAGTAGCGGCCGAGCCGTTTGGCCGACTCTATTTTTTCTTATTTTTATTCAGGATCATTTCTCGATTTAAAAAAAAAGAAAAAGAAAAAAAAACTGCATCGTTCCAATTTTAACGGATGTCACGAAGGACCCGACTCTTCTTTTGCCGTCCGCGCGCGTGTTGTACGACGCCAGACGCTAATTAGAACGGTTGTGATGGATGCACGCGTTGACAGGCCGGGAGGTGAACAGAGTCGTGACGAGAAGTAGGCAGGTGAGTGGTATGCGCTTGCACACTCCTATCGTGTGATAAGAAAAGAAAGTAGACCGGCCTTCGCTTTTTGTTCTATCAGCCGGAACTATGCCTTTTGGGCTTTTTCGTAGACGGCACCTGGGCTCCGAAACGTCCTTCAAACTTACGCTAGCGCTTTTTTGAAGCAACTGTTAAGCTGAAATGGGTATAAAGTATCTTACACACGCTGACAAGGGGTATATATCTTGCCGTCGTACGCTCGTCGTGATGTTGTGAGTGCAGTCCACCATACAGGTGATACAGACCAACACGGAACCCCACGCACGTGACGGCAAAAGAAAAAGAGGGAGCACAGTGCACACCAATCGTAGAAGAGAGCGATGCAGTCGAGGTCGAAAAGATTGATTAATCATGGAGCACAACACGAGGTGTCAAGTCAAAAGAACAGACGCTACGACGCGACGTCTACGCTCTTCGTGATGTGGATGTCGGTTTCTGAAAGATGAACTATCATCCACGCGAGGTGAGGGCGCGCAGAGGGGTGGTGGGGGGGGGAAGGGGACTGCTTGTGTTCGCCTTCGTGTTCTCTTCGTGGCAAGAGATGAAAGACACAAGCCATGCCTAAACGGCTTTCAGAAACACGCTCGATAGATCAGTGTGCGTACAAGCTCCGCATGTCTCAGTTCTCAGGACGCTCACGTTCTCGCTGTCTTCGTTGGTAATCCGTTGTGTGTTTAATTTATTATTCATGTAATTTTCATCAAGTTAATTGCAGGTTTGTCGTATCTAGAGTCTTTCTGCTGTGCTCTTTGTTTTTCTCTCTTTTTCAGATGTTGTAAGGATGTGAGGATGTGAGCGGAGCTAACGAAGGCTGAACGTAGCTTAGAAGAGGGATGCGGTGGGATTATTCATTTCATAAATACCTTGGGTAAACCATGAGTCGAGGTGAGCATTGTTGATGGCATGCAACGAATGTTCACTTATGTCTTCGAGCCACGTTCATGTTCTCGTTTTGACAAGAGATGAAAGTGTCAAGCAATTGCTGAATCGCTTTCAGGACCTCGCTGGGATAGGTTAGCGAGGGCAAGCTCTGCCTGTCTCAGTTCCCTGGATGCTTACGTTCTCGCTCTCTTCGTGGGAAGAGGTTTGGAATAGATACCGAAGTGAAGTCGTGAGGATGTGACCCCCGGGGCTGACTAAGGCTAAATGTAGGTTAGGAGAGAGATGCGGTGGGCATATCCGTTTCGTCGACCTCGGGTAAACCGTGAGTCGGGGTGAGCGTTGTTGGTATATATACCCTGCGCATTCCCTCAAAAAAAAGGTGACTAAGGCTAAAGAAGTGAGAATGCTGACATGAGTAAGGGAAAAAAAAGGTGAAAAACATGATTAGCAAAACCTCAAGGGTTTCTTCCGAGTTCATCAAGTTGAAGAAGGCTGTTTGTTAAAACAGCTGGAGATATCAGAAGTGAGAATGCTGACATGAGAAACAGAAAATCAGGTGAAGAACTACCCTGCGCATTCCCCTGAGGAGCTGAACACGTATAGGGTGTGTTTCGCCAGCGGACACTATTGAGTATGGTGGCATCCCTGCGGCGTCATCTACCTTATATCATCGTCGTGTTGGCTCTACATTGTAAACAATTTGTACAGCCGTTGTGCTCAGGTTTACTATCTCACGAAAAATATAATTTAAGCGGATGCGCTCAGGGTTACTATCTCACGTTCGTCTAATCTCTTCCCCCTTCTTCTGTGTGATGCATGTGTCCAAACGATAGGCTCTGCTGTTCATTCGTGCTGAATTGCTGTTCGTTCGTGCTGAATTGCTTAGCCTTTGCAAGGAATATGAGTGTGAGTGATATACATAAAACCAAGTTGCGAAATCACACAGCTGACCAAGTAGTCGTGTCCCAAGCAGAGAGTACAAATGCACCGAGAAAACCATCCATGTATAGAGCAATACAATGAAGTAATGAGCCAATGTTCAAGCCGTAGGCCACACCGACACAGTATCCAAAGTCGCTCTGCTCTGTCTGGCGTTCAGCGCCCAGCGTACTCTACCAGACTATCCTACCTACAGCTGGTTCACGCAACAGGATCACTTCGACTCACAAAGACCAATGTACATGACTGCCAACACCATCGCTGACCTCTCTTCATGTACCAGGTACGTAGCTCGTCACCCTCAATCAGACCTTGATTACCCCACACAGCTCCTCCTTCCCTGAAGACCACCTGATCATCCGCTGTACCCCCCCGGCGCCCAGCAGCTCGGCTATGGCTGCCTGCGCCCCGCTGCCTTGCAGCGCCCCACTTCACCTCTCGCGCCCCGTCAGCGCCCTTGGCAGCAGCACAGCATCAAGCGAGAGCGCAGCAGCACTTCTGCATTGCCATCGCGCCAGAATGCCTGGCCTGGGCTGCTTCCTTCCTTTTGTGGAAGTGGCAGCCTCCTGGATGCTGCGTGTGGCCTGGCTGGAAGCTTCCAGTAGCTTCCGGTTGGGTCCCAGACCCTGTCCCAGGCCCGAGACTACAGTTGAGGGCCTGGGCCCTTTGCAGTTAGGCACGGCCTGAGTGTCTGGACTTGGGCTGTTTGCTGCATCTGTGCAGGGCTCCCAGGCAGGTGCGTTGGCACTACTGCTTTTGCCAGTCAAGGCCTGGGCCAACTGTATGACGCAGCAATGTGAGGCTCACGCGTCTTTCCAACCAACTGGCGCGCTGCGAGAGCCTGAATACCCACATATGGAAATGTCGAATTTTGCCTTTGACGAATATTCAGGCCTGCCTTCACTTAGGGCGGGCACTTGGCTTGCTGGGGGCCTTAGCCCAGAACAATGTGATGTCTGATAGGGCCCCTTGAGGGCTTGTTCCTCACACCTTTCACTACAGGGGAAAAGCATGATCACCAAAAGTTCAAGGGTTTCTGCGATCAGTCAATCTACACAGAGTGAATAGGTCCCCTCTCTAAGCCGGGAAAAGTTGTAAGACCTCACTGCAAAGAAACCTTCGTATCTGTTTCCCTGCAGCTGGGGGCAAAAAGTGCTGCTGGTTTCAAAATGTGTTCGTGCAATAATGGCGGGAAGTGTTTTGCAGAGTGCAAAAATGATGCCAAAAGTCGTTTTGGCTCCTGCGGCACTCATTGCCCTGGGTGGGGGGAAACAAATACGAAGGTTCGTCGGGGGGAGGTTTTGTAACTTTCCTATTAACTTGGTCCTCAATAGCGGATTATCGCAGAAGAAAATATCTGAGGAATGTATGCGTGGACTGAGGACGACGAAATTGAGTAAAAAATGCTGTTTCTACTTCCCCGACCTTACTGGTCGTGCTGCTGTGTAGTGAAAGTAGGTGAACTGGTCAGAGGCAGGAGGTGATCCAGCTGCACCTTTCAGTATGGCTAACTTGTTATGACTTCACTCCAGTCATTAGCCCTGCCTTCAGCATCCCCCTCTCGGAACTGGAAGGTTAGAGTAACGACTTCGGGCATGGTCAGCTCCCATAGTGTGACGGGCGGTGCGTACAAGTCCCGGGAAGGGATTCACCGTGGTATGGGTGAAATTTTCCTTGTGCTGTGTTTTTAAGGGTGGGAGCCCACAGGACGGCGGCAAACGATATCGTTTGTCTGCGAAGTCAATTTCCAGACTCGATACACTGGAGGAAACTGGCTGGAAGATGCCAACTTGGTCTGCGGCTCCCTTCATCTTACATATCCCCGAAGGGGCCTGTCCCATTTACATGTACCCTGCCTGGCGGGACACACCACGTCGGCATGGTCACCGATTTCAAATTTCAACCGCCAATTAAACTTGAAATGGTGGGGGCGGCGCTGTGGGCCTGTCCCATCCTGTGACGACTCGTTCCTTGTATGTACATGAATCAATAAAAACCTGGCCGGCACCACGTTGGCTCTACGTTCATCAATAAGACAGAGATCACATGCGCCTAAAATCTGCACGTCCACACACTCTCTACTCTAGTCAAAACACAGTCGCGTCCTCACACGGTATACTCGAATTTTAAACTAAACTTATTTTCTGTCACTCGCAAGACAAACAGGGCGGATACCCTTGTAAGGGTATTCGCACCGAGAGACAGAGAGAGAGAGAGAGAGAGAGAGAGAGAGAGAGAGAGAGAGAGAGGCAAAATTGAAATATGAATCAAATTGCGGCCGTGATCTGTTTAATGGTTGGAATAATTTTTTAAAATTTATTTAGGGTTTTTCCTGGAAAGATCACGACAAAATCTACAAGTATTCAAATTTCAGGTTTTTTCACGCATTCTTTTGTGTGGGAAAACTCACTGAATTTGGAGTACTTTATTAGTTGGTGCACACATGGCTGAGCGGCAAAAATGGAAAATGTGCCAAAGCGGTGCGATGATTATTTTGCGGTCTAAATGATTATCTCAAAATGTTATAATATTTTTCCTTGAAAGAGCATGACCTCGTCTATGGATTTTCAAAATTTCAGATTTTCTTTGCAGGTTCCTCTGACTACAGAAAATCGCTGAAGTGGCCTCTTGCAAAACACCTGTTTCGTTGTGCCTGACCTCCCTGTTTTGAGAAGACGGGCCTGAACGCCTGGGCCTGAGGGCCTTTTTGCAGTTCACATACCCTCACTTCTTTTTGGGGTCCGCTTTCACTTAGGACCAGTCCAATGCCCCCCACTTCCTTTTGGGGTCCGCTTTCACCCGATGACCGGTCCTTCCTTTTTCCGAAAGTCCCGGTGCGACGATTATTTTGCGGTCTAAATGATTTTCTCAAAATGTTATAATATTTTTCCTGGAAAGAGCATGACCTCATCTATGGATTTTCAGAATTTCAGATTTTTTTTGCAGGTTCCTCTGACTACAGAAAATCGCTGAAGTGGCCTCTTGCAAAACACCTGTTTCGTTGTGCCTGACCTCCCTGTTTTGAGAAGAGGGGCCTCAACGCCTGGGCCTGAGGGCCCTTTTGCAGTTCACATACCCTCACTTCTTTTTGGGGTCCGCTTTCACCCGATGACCGGTCCTTCCTTTTTCCGAAAGTCCCGGTTCTACCAGAGCTATCTGTAGGTAGTGTGCAATTTTTTATTATTATTATTTTTTTCAACACCAACACCATTAGTATTAAAACAAAGCGAACCGAGGTCGGGGACCTCACAATTTAACCCGGAGTTATCTTGGCAGCATTAGCCAGTATCGCTTATAAGTCTGGCAGAACCGGAACCAAAGTCTAATACCAATACCATGCTATCTCTCTCCTTGTTTGTTACCCAATATTGCTTACGGCCGAAAACAGCCTGTGAATCGGTCAAGAACTACTGCTAATCTATGGAGTGAATCCTCCCTAACTAATTCAACCTATTGAATTCACCAGAGTTTCCACGGCAGGCGCTGGGTTACCAATCAAGCCTACGACCGGACCGAAATCAACCTCTGAGCTAAGTTTGTCGCCCCTGGCTCTTCCCTTTCTTACAAGCAAGAGGCGTGTGCTAAAGTGCAGGCTATAACCAGAGATAGAAGGGAGCAGGGGTCTGGCCTATAAAACCCGTCAGATACGAAATGTACGAAATGTAGTAACTTAGTAAGCCCACTTCCAACTTCTAGCTTATAGGAGACTCATGCTGAAATCCAAATAAGAACAGGGTTCGATCCCGCTTACCAACTTGGCCACCCGTAGAGAACCCGAGCTACGGAATACACTCTCTCACCCTCACAAACCAAGGGAATGGATATTCCTGACGTTATAATTGCCACTAAGAGGACGGAGGAAACCCTAAAACATAAAAATATGCTGTTATTGCTTGGCGATGTAAATAAAGTACTAAAACTACGTCAAACGAAATTTCACTGACGGCTGGAATTTATGAAGGCAGACCAGGAAACGACTGAAAACACACAAGAATAAGACCAAGGACAGAGAAACTAAAAAGTCGTGGAGAAGAAAATAAAATGTAATTTCGAATTTGAGATAAAGGCCAAGATAAAAGTAGTCGATATAACTAAAGTATGAGTGTCTCCATGTATAGTGGCGCGGTTTCACCTAGTCGACCAAACAGCCTGTGCCCATCGCCTAACCAAACAGGCGTCCAAACTAAAGCTCGAAAATTTTTAGTCTCTCAGTCGTAGGTCAGGCCGGTGAGGAAATCAGCTGCTCATCTATTATGGAAATGATTTTAGGGGGCGCAGCGCTACAGGGTGCGCTACGCCCCGACACCAACCACGGCGGCGGAGTGAGGCCGCGAAGCGGGAGTGTGCCTGGCTCGAATCGGCTTCGCTCTGGCACGCTCAAACGGACGACGTGGTGCATGGCGATGGCGAGACAGAAGAGCTGGTGGGGTAACGAAGGCTGGGTGTCGAGCTTACGGTAGCTGCTTACTAGGCGTTTTGCTCACGCGCGGGAAGTCTATACCGTATCACAGGTTGATAGGGAGAATAGACAGACTCTCGGAGGCTTTCTGGGAGTTCCATGTTCATACTCCATTGCTGCTGCGTTTTTGCTCGTGGCATAGAGCCTGTGAGGTGTCGTCTCTGGGGACGCTTGTGGAGTTCAGCGAAGTGAGCCTTGCGTGACCCGAAGTGCGAGTGGAGTACCTACCTGTCATCATCAGTGTCCTCGTCCATCGGCATTAGGGAGGCTTGTCACCATGGTAAAGGTTTTGTTATCATCATCAGGGCTGTTCGTCATCGCCATCAG